ATAAATTGCAGATTGGGCTGGTAAGTGCTCTTCTTAGGGACACATACGGTACAGCACAGATCAGAACATCACAGAGCCTGAGGATCGACTTGGGTGATGTTAGTAAGAATTATTATAAACTCTTTTGCATTTTGCATTGATAAAGTTTACTCAGTGTATGTATTTACATGTTTCAGGAAAAAAATCGGTCTTAATTTAACATAATAGGATGCAGTACTGGTAATTTTTCTAATGGTTATCTTGACAAATAGTGCATTGAACTCTCTGGGATGCAGTATAATGTTTGTGATGATGACCATTTTCATGTATCCATAATATTCTTTTTCTGTAACTAAAAATAGCTCTAGACTCCAAGGTTCTGTCGTTTTAGAAATCAGGATAAACTGGATCAAAGCGTTCTCTGCAGAGAAACTAATGGAAGTTTCGCCTCAGAAGAGCTTCTGATATTTGTCTAAAATATATGAAGCATTGTTGTGATCTTTTGTTGTTTTTGAGATGTATTTTTCTAAAAAAAAGATCATAAACCCTATCAGAGGTTTAAGAGTTTTCATGACTGTTGTTCACAACATCCTACCATTTCACTGAGATACAGCTTGGTGTAATTTCAGCACAATCCTTGAACTAAATTTTAAGCTGTTATTTTTCCAGTCTTCCAGCTCAAGCTGAGTGTTAGAGTGAGCAGAAGTAGACTAGTGAGTGTTGGTGTACAATTTGGAATGTGAGAAGTGTGAGATCATTTTGGAGAGTGTCATGAGCAGAATTCTCAAATAGAAATTTTCCTAATATCTGACAACTGAGATCGTCCTACGAAATTCAGCATGTCTGTTTTTGGTCGATCATGGTAAATGTCTGTGATACGTGCAGATATGCTCACTTTATCTTCAGTACGAATGTGCTAGAGAAAGGGCAGGCTGGCTTATTGCCTGCTGCTTCTTTCTTCTCCCAAGGGAGTTGGCAGGAATTTTTATAAAGTGAATCTAGCTTGAATGTAGCCTAAAGAAGGGGTGCTGATTCCCATTACGACGGAGAAAATTGCTGTGTAGCCTTCTCGGCTACCAGTCAGAGCATCATTTTAATTCTATATTCTAGTAAAATGAGTGCAAGCAGAGCTGGAGAAGCAGGGCACATTAGGCGTTGTATTTTCTTTCTTCACCAAAACAGTGCTTGCCATACTAGTATAATCACAAGTGCTAAAGTGTATGTGAGACTGTTAGCTGTCGTCAACATCTGTTTCTCTTGATTTGAATGAATTTGGTGATGAGCGTCCAGAAAAGGAGGGACGGTTGTACCTAGAAATCAGTTTCACTGTTGAATTTAACTTCTGATATTTCCCTGTGGGATAAACTTGCTCAGGATTTATTTGGATTTTTTGACTTCCAAAGGTAAAGAATGAAACTGGGGGTTGATTATAGGCTTCAGAGAATTAGCGTTTTGACACATCTTTTTATTAAGGATTTTGAACTCCAACAACTGTTGAGAATCTTTGCAGCATGATGCGGGTAGTTAAATTTCTTTAAAGAATCATATTCATTAATTCAAATACCTGATAATTTTATTGTAAATTTATTTTTCGTAAGAAAAAGCCAGTGCTTTTCGAGAGTTTGAAGACTGCCATAATTGAAAGTTCACTACTTGCTAAGCATAATACCAAAACCAGAAACTATAAAAGAAGAGGTTCTTATCTTTGCACTAAAAAAATTCTCTATTTAAGTTGCCATAAACTATGTTAAAAGAAAAATGACAGATTTGGAAATATATTTGTAACATGCACAGCAGGCAAAAGGTTGTTTTCCAAATATAAAAAGATATTAAAGTGGATTAGGAGAAAGGTTAAATGTCCCCAAAACAAAATGAACAAAGAACAAGGACAGATGAGTCACAAAGGAAGGAATACAAAGCACCTGTAGATATGTGAATAGATATTCAGTCTTACTTGTAATCAAGGAAAAGCCCAAAAAAGAAAGAGAAGAAAGAAAATACCCAATTGTCAAAGGTATAGGAAAGTGCTCAGACATCATTTGGTGGAAGTTTAAATCTGTACAGACCCTTTTAGAGGTAATTTGTTGTGTGTATTAAAATCATAACTGCATACCCTCTGATCCAGGAATTTCACCTTTCAGAATTTATCTCCAGGAAAAATTTGGATAGATGTGCAGAAATATACATGTGAAGGTGCCCGTTATAATAGTGGAAAATGAGAACCAAACTAAATATTTATCAATAGTTATAAGTAAATTATTTAATATCAACACATTGGAATTCTATGGCAGGCATATTTTTTCCCCAGTGTTTAAAATTGTTGTAAAATACAGCTTACATTCACCATGTTAAATTTACCATCTTAACCAATTTTCAGGTGTACAGTTCATAAGGTACATTCATATCGTTTTGCAACCATCACCACCATCCATCTCCACAACTCTTTTCATCCTGTAAAACTGAATCTCTGCACCCATCAAACAATCACTCCCTGTCTCCCGTCTCCCCAGCCCCTGGCAACCACTCTTGTGCTTCCTGTCTCTGTGAGGTAGACTGCTCTAGGGACCCTCATGTAAGTGGACTGGTGTAATATTTGTCTTTTGTGACGGGCTTATTTCATTTGGCATAGTGTCCATCCATGTTGCAGCGTGTGTCAGCATTTCCTTCCTTTTTGAGGCTGAAAAATATCATTAGGCATTTTTTAAAATTTAATTTTTGATTGGGTAGTACATACATTTAGTTCAAATTCAAGAGGAGGGTTAGGAGGAGAGAAAGATGGGAAGTGGCTGGGAAGTGACTGCAGATGTATATGGGATTTCTCTTAAGGGGTGATGGCAGTGTTCTAGAATTAGTAGTGATCGATGCATGATTTTTTTATTTTTTTGAACATTTACACATGAGTTTATTTCAATCTTTCTTTTTGCATAACTTTTAATATGCTGAAAACTGCTGACTTACACACTTTAGACCGGCAAACTTTATGGTATATGTGAATTATGTCTCAATAAAGCTATTATTAAAAAATTTTCAATGTCAGTTACACCTCAGTTAAAAAAAATTTTTATGTGGAATAGAATAAAGTTTTCTTACATGTTGTCCCTCAGTGATTCCAGTCTGTTCCTCCCTTCCTCCCTTCTTGCCTTCCTCTGTTCCCCCAAATTAATTATTTCTTGTGTAACATTACAGAAGTATTTTTATTTCTTATGATATTTTTTTTTTATAGTAAATAGTAAATATTTATTGTTCCCTCCCTTTTAACCAAAGTGGTAGCAAATTGAACACACCCAAGCAGGCATCTCTGAAGTCTTTTCTCTTATTTTTAAAGGTAAAAATGTCTCTTTTTATTGATTACTTGCTTACTGTAGGGGATTTAGATAGTAGAAAAAAGTATGAAGAAAAATGTAAAATCTACCCATACCCAGACACTGGTAATTGTTTGCAACCTTTTAGACTTTTCTCTGCATGTATATACTTTGTTTTAAAAATTAATTTATTTTATTTTTGGCTGTGTTGGGTCTACATGTATATACATTTTAAAAATTAGAATCGCGATCATCCTATACTTGCTATTATATATCTGCTTTTTTACACTTAATATGTTGTAACTGTAGTTTTTATCAGTAAATATAAATCTACATTTAAAAAAATTGATGCATAGTATTAAACTGGGTGGACATTTCTCATTTACTTAACTCATCACCTATTAATATCCATTTAGGTTGTTTCTAATTCTGTCACTGGTATAAACAACAATGAGCGTCTTTGTACACTTGCCAGATCGTTTCCTTGAGATATTTACTGCTGTTTTGCAGTTTGCCAAAAGTTTTAAACAATGTATGTTTTAACATATATGCCACAAAGATTTCAATGATACTATTAGCTCTTTGAAAAGATGGTGCAGGCATTTATATCCTCATTTTAAATATGAGGAACCTGAAACCCAGAAAGAAGGCGATGTGTTCCAAATCAGGTTGCTCTTTAGTGTGAGAGCTGGAACTAAAACTCATGTCTTCCGACTGTGGGTTAGTTTCCTTCCACTGCGGCACACTGCCAGACCTTGAATACCTTGAATACAAAGAGTGATTTTCTGTTGTTGCTTCTTCATTTCTAAAAACATGATTCTTGATGTAACTTCCTTTTAGGTTCTTTGTATAATGTTCTAGAATTTATCCATTCAAATTAAAGGTTCATATACCTTCGTTAGGGATACAGGCTAAAGATATACCCTCTGAAACATTTTACTGGCTTATCTGCACTAACATTTTCATTTAATTACTCAAATTACTCACTTATATTGTTATCTTCTGTATAAATAGCTCACACAGCCTCAGTTTTCTGTGTTTTGTTTTTAAAGCTTCAAGTTATCTTATTACCTTTGGGTACTAGCTTCAGTGGGCTGCGAGAATTGCTTTAATTCGAATGCCAGCTCTGTTACTTACTGTGTGATCTTGGGGTGAGTTATTTAAGTCTCTGCATGCATGGTGTCATCATCAATAAAATTCGAATAATAGTACATGTGTTATAGTGAGGATTAAATGAATTAACACATAAGGAGTGCAAAGCACGTTCTGGCATGCACTCACATGTTTATTATTTAATGTGCTAACTTAATTGTAAAACACTTAAAAGTCATTTTGTATTTTGACATCGTTTGTTTTTTGGTGAAATTTTTTGTATGATGTGTCCGTATTCCTATAGATTTTCCCTCTCCTCACCTTCAGTTCCATGTAATACCTTCTGTTAATCTTGAACAGTGTCTTTATTTAGTCAAGCAAAGTGAGGAGCTGCCAGACTTACCTTGTTTCCCGTTGGTAATAAACACAAATTAAATTACTGACATTTTACAGATTATCTCAATCATTTTTAAAGACAGTGTAAAACAGAATAATGTGACTCCTCATTTGCTAAATGCAGGGTTCTGAGAGCTGTGGTAGCGGCTTTCTCACTCCCCGCAATCTGCTTTGTTTCTGCTACTTGAGGAGGAAAGCTCATTTGGGTTTTCCTTTTTGTCTTTATACCAGCACATGCAAATGACAATCCAGGCTCTCCAGGATGAATTGCGGATCCAGAGGGACCTGAACCAGCTGTTTCAACAGGATAGTAACAGTAGGACTGGTGAGCCTTGTGTGACAGAGCTGACGGAGGAGAACTTTCAGAGGCTGCACACTGAGCACGAGCGGCAGGCCAAGGAGCTGTTCCTCCTTCGAAAGACTCTGGAGGAGATGGAGCTGCGGATTGAGACGCAGAAGCAAACCCTGAACGCTCGGGACGAATCCATCAAGAAGCTTCTGGAGATGTTGCAGAGCAAGGGGCTTTCTGCTAAGGCTACTGAGGAGGACCATGAGAGAACAAGGAGACTGGCAGAGGCAGAGATGCACGTCCACCACCTCGAAAGCCTTTTGGAGCAGAAGGAAAAAGAGAACGCTCTGTTGAGAGAGGTGAGTGGCCACTTTCTCGGTTGTTACGACTGTCTTTTTTTCCTGATTAGTCAGCATTTTGACCTAGATAAATTTATATGCTCTCCCGAACTAGTGCAAGGGAATTTCTTCTTTCTTACCTAAATTCGGCACTGATTTCTGTTCTGATTTGCTGTCTTGTACGAGATGACATTGGCTGGCATGTATGCTGGCTTAATGCCTTTCCTGGTTTCTTCCTTCCCCCTCCTGATCTCTGGAGACGCGTTCTGGTGCTCGAGGGGCACAGAACTTTCCTGACTTGTTTTTCATCTCCTGATTTGTTCATAGAGACACACACAACAAAACCAGAATTAGAGTAGCTAACTACTGCTCAATTTTAAAATATTAATAATTGAAGGTAAGCGATTCCCTCATTTTCGGTGTGCTTATAAAGTCCTAGGCGGCAGTAGTGGATGTTTGCCCTGTGGTTTCCATGGAAACTGTTGTCTTGCTGTAAAAGATACGTGATAGAAATTTTTTGCTGGGCTTCCCTGGTGGCATAGTGGTTAAGAATCTGCCTGCCAATGCAGGGGACATGGGTTCGAGGCCTGGTCCAGGAAGATCCCACATGCCGCGGAGCAACTAAGCCTGTGCACCACAACTGCTGAGCCTGTGCTCTAGAGCCCTCGAGCCACAGCTACTGAACCCATGTGCCTGGAGCCCGTGCTCCGCAACAAGAGAGGCCACCACAATGAGAGGCCCGCACACCGCAATGAAGAGTAGTCCCCGCTCGCCACAACTAGAGAAAGCCCGCATGTAGCAACGAAGACCCAATGCAGCCAAAAATAAATAAATAAAATAAAAAATATATATATTTGCTGCCCTGGAGGCACAGCTAGAGGGAATGATACAGAGGTATGCTGTCACTTATTTTTAGAGAGGAACCTCAGACTTCAGCTGACCACTGTGACTACTGATAATTTTTCACTTTTCTATGTAATGCTTCATTTTAAGAAAGCTTAAGTGAAGAATTCATCTTACATTGAATTAAAAAAAATGACAGCTCTACTTCCCTGTATGAGGTCAGAGTCTTCAGATAATTTTCACGTTTGGATAGGGGGAAAATAAAATCCCAGAACTATTTTAGTGCCAGTCTGAATAATCCCTTTTTAAATGAAGTGTGAGGAAGGCAGTTAAAAGCAGCAAAGCAGCAACTTCCCCGATGGTGGAAGCGGTCTGTATCTGCTCTCTGCAGTATGGTAAACAGCAACTTCCCCTGATGATGGAAGCGGTCTGTATCTGCTCTCTGCAATGTGGTAGCCACTGGCTACATGTGACTGTTGAGTAGTGGAAATGTGGTTAGTGTGACTGAGGAACTGAATTTTAAATTTTATTTAAATATAACTAATTTAAAATTAAATTTAATTAATCAAATTTAAATTTAAGTATCTCTGTGTAGGTAGTGGCTACTGTATTAGGTAGTGCAGCGATGCATAATGTAATGTTACCCGCTTTTCTTAATAATTTGTCTTGACCATCTTTCTTTCTTTGTCAGTACATGTAGAGTTTTGTAATTTCAATTGAATTTATAATGTTCTGTTGCAGTTATTTATATTTCTTACTGTTGAAAATTTAGACTACTGTTAATTTTTCATTATTATAAAACTGTGCTGCAGTGAATATCCCTAGCCATATATCCCTGTACATTAATTTTTTTCTTTAGCATAAATTTCCAGAAATGAATCTGCTCAGCGTGTGTACGTTTTCAAAACTCTGAATATCAGTCTTGTCTCCCAGAGTGATTGGACCAGTTTATCCTCCCAGAAGCATATACTGTATTTTTACGGTTAATCTGCAGCTATGTATGTTACAGTCTTCAAATTACTGGACTGTATTGTTTTAGAAAATTTTCTATCAACAACTACTGTGTTGTAGGCACTATCCTGAGTTTCTTTCATTTTACTTTAAAGAGTTTATATTTTAATGAGGTAACCTGGAGCCAGGCCATAGAACATTGTTAGAGAAGGTGTGATCATCTCAAATCAAATAGCATGCAGCAGGAAAACCCTACCAGCATCGTGATGAACTTTGAATGTTATGTTTTTACTCCTTCTGTTCTGAATATTTCAACTTCTGCCCATTTATTTTTGAGTTTTAGAGTTAATAAATAGTGAATAGTTAAGGATTATGAAAAGCCACAGTGTTATTCTGGAGAGAACAACCAGAAATATGGTGAATTTGAACAAGTAGTAGGAAAAAAATTGAATTTAAGACTAATTTTGAAGTAACAAGCTCTACAGATATTAAATCCCACTTCTGAACATAATGTGGAAAGAAATATAGGCCTTGTCAGTTGTATCAATACATAATTCCAGTTGCTATTAGTAATGTAGCATCATCTTACAGGAAACACAGTCCTATGGATTAAAATTATTTAAGAGCAAGTAGAAGTGATTGCTTCAGGAACACATGTTCAGAATGCTGGTTCCCCTTTCCTTTTCTCCTACTTGCCTTCAAGATTTAGCTCAAATTTCAGTTCTTCTGTGAATTCTTCCTTGTGCAGCTCTATACATATATGTAGATGAGCCAGTAATATTAT